AGGTGCTATTAATCTTGTAGGCCCTATCAACGAGTGTCTTAATGAGACCCACTTTGTAAGAGTACGAGGTGAAGCTGAAATAATTAGTTAGTAACCCAGTGAAAGTTTTCTTGCGGTAAATCCTAGTTAGAGAGGAACTGGGGTCATGGTTGTCAATCAGGACATCAAAAAAGGGTAATTTGTAATATAATTAACCTGTTTTTCCATAGTGAACTTGATGTTAGGGTGCCTAGAGTTGATATAGTCGAAAAATATAGTGGCATCTCGATCTGAGTTAAATAAGCAAAAAGTATCATCAACATACCGGCGATAAAATAAGATTGTAGAGCCATGAAAATTTTCCAACCAAAGTTTTTCGTGATGTCCCATAAAAAGATTGACTAAGACAGGGGCAATGGGGGACCCCATGGCTACGCCATCTATTTGATCATAAAAAGAACCGTTAAATATGAAATGAGTCTGGGCGGTAGCTGTAGTGAAGAGACTTCTAAGTTCAGATTTGTTTAACTTAATGTCGGGACTACCCTCGGAAATGCAATTGACCGCTAAGTCAATACACTCTTCAAGAGGTATGTTAGTAAAGAGACTTTCAACATCAAAAGACACCATAAACTTACGAGATATAGATAAAGATTGGATGTCCTGAACAAAAGTAAAAGTGTCAGTAGCACAGTAATCAGTTGGAATATGAGGTGAGATGCCAGGTTGTAATTGTATGTTCCTATAGAAGATACGATGGAGCGAAATGGCGGTGTAGAGTTAGCTTCACGATCCTTATGCATTTTTGGGAGGGCCGTAAATTCTTGCTGGAAGAGGGGGAGTGGTGAAGAGAGGCGAAGACCAAATTTTTATTTGAGAGTGGTTTAGGACAGAATATTAACACATTACGAGGGTTGTCTCGTTATGAGTTCAAATTGAAAACACGGGTAGATGCTCAGCTAGAGAGCGTGAAGGTTACAACTTTTTTCTAAACAATTACAGCTCTCGAAAAGTCAGGCATTGATATCCCAAGAACCCATCTTTAATTCTGAGCCGCTTACAGAACAAAACTTAAGACGATTCACGTGAGGTTTTCAGCGCACAAAAATGTTTCCATGTGGGTTTTGCACGTTTCTCAACTGGTTTGGTCGATTTTTACCACAAGGATCATGAGTTGGTGAGTTAATTCTTGTGTCCCCGTCAAAGTAGTAATAAGTACTTCCAGCAGTGAGGAGAGGTCTGCGACTGGGAAGACTCATAGATTTTGGTACCGTTCCAGTGCACTGATTAGAAACCTGCTTCACCAGTTTACGAGAAAGTGACCCCTTCTTCTGTTGCACTATGCTACCAGAACCTTCCTTGCATGCAATCCAGTTGTTGATGTTGCTCTTGATCAGGAATTCCTTGCCAATGCTGCGCCACAAAGAAAAGTCCATGGCCTCATACTGCGTCTCGCTCAGTGGAACTGTTTTAGACACTCGAACGTTAGCGTCGCTAGCTGACCAAGATGGGCGCGGAGTGACAGCGTTTCGGCCGGTCCAGAAGCTTGAGTAGGCAGTGAAAGTGTAACTTTAAACTAGTGTCCAGCCCCTTCCGTCTGTTTGCTGGTCGCAGTAGACCTGGAAAGCGTTGCTACGGGAACCGCCATCAGGATCTATCCAATAAACGCCTGACACGGCGTAAGGGGACTTCTCTGTGAGCACCTTACAGTTCAGCATTGTTAAGTCTTTGGAAAATCCTATGAAGTCTATAAAAACAAGATAGAAATGTAACTGGAGGGCATTCCTATCAAATCTGCTCATAAATGATTTTCTGATTGCATATACATCACTGAACGCTGATAAATTTTGGGCGAAAGATATAATTACGTATTTACATTCCACTGACCGATTCTTGCTAATCAAAGAAAAGTTGTAAGCTCTTACATCGATACAAAAAGAAGAAGGGGCATTTGTAAATAACGTAATTTTCCAGTTGAATGAAAATCTCAATAACACTTAAAGTTTTAAGTGCAAATAGCTCTTTGCGGCGTTGTTTTTTTCGGTATTTTACACCGTCATTTAGGAGTTAGTTCGTGCATGAAATGAACATGTTCGCGAATTCAATAGTCGTATTTAAATTTACGACCAATGAAAAATTAAAGCGTATGTGAAATTATTTCGAAAAAACGGTCGACAGAAAGTAATCATGAAAATAAACTGACATCAAAAGATGTCGTGCCATTACCAAGTTGCGTCCACCCTAAGAGAATGTGAGTGGTGTCGATGATAAATCGTGTTCAAAAAAATTGATTTCGTTCTTGAAGTGGAAAAAAAGGAATTGTCGGTGAGGCCGCTAAAAATGATACGCGACTACTGGCTATTGATGATGGTTTATAGGGAAAAAAACGCTGTTTAATTTAAAAGTTTTAAACATATAACGTCAGTCACATTTAAATCATTTGAATTAGCTAATGAGCGCGTGCCTGAAATTGAACACTAATAAGGGCCTGGACCTAATTTCCCTAGGGGAACCCCAGGTAGGTGAGGTAACCCGCCTCCCCCACCTCCATGTAAACAGGCCCTAAAAATGAAAGTCCGTAATTGCGCGCGCCAAGGCGTAACTGCCAACTGAGTTCTTTCAAAGTTTTTTTTTAGGAATTCCATAAATGCAGAAATATTGCAACAGTTACAATGATAAATTGTTCCAAAATTCGATTTAGTTTATTTGGATCTAGGAGAGATGATTCGAAAACTGAAAAGACTGTCATATGGCACTTGCTTATAATGGTCGAAAAACAAAAGATAAAAAACAAACCCAACAGAATATTTAACAACACTGTTCGTTTTCTCTGATCCAACACTGGGCCGGCGGTGAGGAAACTTGTTTTAACTTTGCAATATTCTCGGTGCAGCCTCAGTAAATAACACAGTTGTAATATTGAATCAGTTGTAATCAAGCCAGGATACATGATTTATCAGATCACGAGACAAAACTCGTAGCATTGTATTATATAACCATCGCTTCAGTATTTGCGCAACCTCGACGAATTAAAACAAACCGTGTAAGCAAACATTATTAACTTGTTTGGTTTAGAAGAGGGTCTCTGTGGGGTCATGGTTGACTATAGACATTAAAAAGTCCGGTTGATTTCTTCTAATAAGATGTTCGAAAGCACAGAAATACAAAAACATCTTGCGTTTGTTAATTTCCTTCGCCGCAGTGACTTCAAATTTTTAGCGATTTTGCTACCGTGAAAGATGAATTATGCAAATTATCTGTTAAGCAAACTCTGACCGTTCTATGTCAATGGCTCCCTGTAGTTTGGTCCTGAAATGTTCATACAGGTTTAAATAGCTCAAGCTCTCTAAACTCAAATAGGAAAGAACACAAACCATTTTCTTTAAAAAAGAGTTGCTCGTTAAAACGCTGACCGATCGCTAATCAGTACGATAGTCGATACGTTTTGTTCGCCTCTTGTTTCACATATCACAAGAGGCAAGTGATCAGTTAAAACTTGAAGTATTGACGAGCCTGCATGACATTCCTGCCATCCGCAAGCGATTTTAAACTTCTGTCTTCATAGATTAGTTTTCACCAGGATATATTTTGATGATTTTTTTTCCGATTTAATTTTGAGTAAGGTGCCATTTCCCCATCAGTATGTTCTTAAGTTTAGGTAAAGCCGGGTGATATTGAATAACGAAAGGAAATATTTTCTTCTGTGTGATGGATCCTTTTTTTAAGTGACCCTTCTCTACTGGAGCAGACAACTCCAGAAATGTATTTCTCCAGAACTTCGTCAGGTTTCCTCGATCCCCTTCTTTAGTCGTATTTTTAAGCTCTGTACGTTTTTTATTAAGTGTGGAGCGCGTCAGATTTTTTTTTAGGATGGGTAACGCTTCTCCCGGCATGCGAAACCTTTCTTTACGTCTCGTAAAATGTGTTTACGGGCCGGCACGATTCCTGCCAGGCTTTGAGTAATATTAACAAATTTCTCCACAGTTTCCCGTATGTCAACAAAAAAAGAGGATTGGTTGACAAGGATCTTTTAAGATGCCACATCAAATTTATTCCTCAAATATTGAAGGTTTTGTTAAATAAACCTTACAGAAGGCTTTGGAAAAAATTAAACCAGATTCTAGTGGTTCTTTTTATACCTAAACTGCTGTTTTAACTTTACTGATTTCGCTTAACTTTAAAGCCTTACTTACGTCAACGTTTTTCTGTGCTTATGATATTGGAAATATAATTTTTGCGTTGTTCAGTTGAAGGTTTCTTTATTCTTCTCTTTCTTACATACAACTTATTACCTCGGGACTAACTCAGATCTAACAAGAAAAGTGTGTCTCCACTTATAAAAGGGACGCTTACTGAGCTCTCTAACCTTCGTCATCCTTTTACACTTAACTAGCGAATCACGTTAAGCTACGAAGGGCGGAGTTCGCATACTAAGTAGATACCTTCGAGATGTTTACGCTTTACAAAATCCTTAAATTTCTTAGTCTTACAGTCAATGTTGGTCATAACTAAAACAAGATTGATAATATAAAAATTGTAATGAAATTATCAACAGAATTAGAATCATACTTGAAAATATATTTTAAGAGGAAATACTTCTCGAAGACTGTTACATAACAGCACAATAAACAGAAAATTTGGAGAAGAAAGGGCGTACCCAAGGTACTGCCCCTAAAAGAGCTACGTGCTATTCGTATAAATTACCTGATTATAAATTCAGTGCGGAGGATGAAAAGTACTACTTGTTTACACCTTAAGTCACCTCTAAGAAAAAGAGGTGTCGAGCGTGCTAAATTATACCTGTAAGATAAGACCGCCAAAAGGAATAAGAAATGATCAACTGGCTTATTATAATTTTTACTGAATGGCTTATGCTAATATACTATTTCCATTCATTTCCAACGTTTAAATAAGTAAAAAAAAAACACTGGATAGATACAAATTTCGTCTTTTAACAATATTGAAAACGAAAGCACAAAAAATTGAACTAGATCTAATTTGGGATAGCTCCTTTTTTTAATTTCAATGAAATACCGGATAAAGTATGTTCTCTACTTTGCTCTATTCAATTTATGCATCTAAAAGTCTTTTGGCTCTGTTTCCTTCGAGTGATTCTCATTATTTACTCTGTCGGGGTCTCTTTCTCTGTAAAAAAAGTGAAAAAAAAACAGCAATTTATTATTAACTCGATTAATATTTTGGATATGAAGCAAATACAATTATACCAAGCTTAATATCTAAAAATATAAATGGCTAGCACTTGTATGTGATTGGCAGAGAGGCCCTTTCGAGATTCTATATTTACACCAGAGAGCGTCGATAGTAACTCTCCGAAAAGAAAAGAAAATAAATATATGTATATGGATATATACCGAACTACCCTTGATGGTAACAAAGGACCCCCGCCGACAGTCACCGACCAGTAAATCACAGCTACCTTCACATCTACTTAGACTTTAATTTGTGAAATATCTTTTCGGACTGAGTCTTACCTCTGCTTGTCAAACCCGAGTCTCACATCATCTCCAATCAGCGTAAACGAAGCCCACTCAGACACACTGGTAGACTTGCTTTTTCTCATCCACTTCATGGCCTGATGGAGGGATTCACTGGCACTTTCTCCCTCTACAAGGTGTTCGTAGAACCGACTCATCAGCTGCTCTGTTGCTGAGTCTGAAATGGCCCACAGCGCAACCAACACCGAGCGAGCACCGGATCCTAAGAACGCACGGGCAATTCCTATGACTCCCTCGGCTCTAATGTGACCTCTTCCACTGTGACAGCAGCTAAGTACCACCAGTTTAGCTCTGACTTTCACTCGTGATACATCAGCCATCGTCAACATGTAATCTTCATGTGGTAAGATAGCGTTTCGCCTGTTGGAAGTACTAGGGATGGGGGAGAGGGCAATTTCTCCCCTTTCGGCGTCACCATGGGCAGCAAAATGAATCAGGCTCACTGAACTTATCCGCTCAAGCACCGCCTGCTTCGTTGCTTCTTCTCCTACCAGAGGCAGAACACCCACCAGTCGTCCGACCATCTCCGCTTCCTTTCTTGCACTTGGCAATGGTGGCAGCCAATTAACCTTAGGGTTGCCTATTATCAAGGCACCAGTGTTGCTGTGATAGTCCTCTGGGCTATCTTGAATAATCTTGAGTGTTGTCAAAGAAGGAATGACACGGATTCTATGAGTCTCCGAGAGGTATTGGGCTCCCTCCTTTTCACTCAGTGCAGCAAAGGGAACTTTGTACAAACTGCGGTCAGGAACGATAATGACTTCAGGCTCCTCAAGCAAATCATAAACGGGAGCAATAAACATTTTGTAACACAAAAATAGACCTGAAATCACTTTCTCGTCCTCATCCTCGTCCTCGTCCTCCTCCACGAGTCGCAATCTTGCTGAGCTCTTCTGTGCGGGGGAGAGAGGTTGCAATTTAACCATATTTAAAGACCGATCTTCACAATCTTTAGTGGGCAAAATACCAAGACTCCGGAAATTACCATCCAAAAATTGACTCAAACGCAAATCTTTGGGCAACCCAGCCTGAACTAGATTCTCTTCTACTGATATTCTTCTATAGTGAAGGACTCCACTTTTCTTTAAGATCCACAAACGCAGATCACTGTGAAAATACGAAATGTACAGACAACTACAGTTATTTTTCTTTTTAAAAATGTTCTCAACGCCAAACCAAGATTGCGGATTAGCAGAGATGTGCGTTCCAACCGAGTACTTCTCTACCATTAAGTCTGATAGGCCTCTAGCTCGACCCAACTCCTCAACATAAAGAGCATCCCGAGCATTTCCGGTGTCACAAAGCAAACTACAAAGCAGCTTGTAGGGAAATATTCCTGAGTGCTCCAGAAATGATGTTTTGAACTGATCATTGGCGCCTAAGAAATATCTCAGCTCCTCATACTTTTCAATGCAGAGATAAAGACACGAACAGGATTCTTTTTTTTTATCTTGCGACAAATACAAAATGGCGTAATGTCGAAGGATTTCGAACTCTCCTCTTCTATCTCCAATATCTCTGGACATCGATAAAGCTTTCTCTAAGCATACTTCTGAGGCTTCATAATCTCCTATAGCTCCACACACACATCCAAAGTTTGCAAGATCTGTTACTTTCCCTTCTTTATCACCAATTTCAGTTCTGATGACGAGTGCTTTTTGGAGATACTCTTTAGCCTTGTCGTATTGCCCGAGCGACTGAAACACAGTACCTAGGTTTCCATAACATGATGCTTCCCCTCTTTTGTCGCCAATTTCAGTTTTGATGACAAGCGCTCTTTGGAGATACTCTTCAGCTTTGTCGTATTGCCCGAGCGACTCAAACAAATTACCAAGATTTCCGTAGTCAGTTGCCTCTCCTTTTCTGTCACCAATTTCACGTATTGTCCGAGCGACTGAAACACAACACTTAGGTTTCCATAGCATGTTGCTTTCCTTTTCTGTATTTCAGTTTTGATGACAAGCGCCTTTTGGAGATACTCTTGAGCCTTGTCGTATTGGCCGAGCGACATAAACACAGTACCAAGGTTACCGTAGTCAGTTGCCTCTCCTTTTCTGTCACCAATTTCAGTTCTGATGACAAGCGCCTTTTGGAGATACTCTCTAGCCTTGGCGTATTGTCCGAGCGACTGAAACACAGTACCTAGGTTTCCATAACATGTTGCTTTCCCATTTCTGTCGCCAATTTCAGTTTTGATGACAAGCGCTCTTTGGAGATACTCTTCAGCTTTGTCGTATTGCCCGAGCGACTGAAACAAATTACCAAGATTTCCGTAGTCAGTTGCCTCTCCTTCTCTGTCACCAATTTCAGTTCTGATGACAAGCGCCTTTTGGAGATACTCTCTAGCCTTGGCGTATTGTCCGAGCGACTGAAACACAGTACCTAGGTTTCCATAACATGATGCTTTCCCTTTTCTGTCGCCAATTTCAGTTCTGATGACAAGCGCTCTTTGGAGATACTCTTCAGCTTTGTCGTATTGCCCGAGCGACTGAAACAAATTACCAAGATTTCCGTAGTCAGCTGATACCAAGTATTTGAAACACAGTAGGTCAGTTGCCTCTCCTTCTCTGTCACCAATTTCAGTTCTGATGACAAGGGCCCTCTCAAAATATTCCTTCGCCTTTAGGTTTTCGCCAAGTGTTTTAAGCATAATTCCAGACTTTATGTATAAGATAAACAGCATGTTGCTGAAAACAACTATAAAGATGTCTTTGCTGTTTTGATCGGTGCTATTTAGCAAAATCAAACATTCCCTGCATATCTCAATGGCTTTCTGAATGCGATTTGAGTTGCGCAAGAACAGGGAAACAAGTAAGGCGATGGTCATGAAAGCTATCATGGCTTCTGCTATTAGGTTTCCATTGCCATCCTCTCCTGTAATCAGGGAAACATTTCTTTCAGTAACGCAATACAAAGTTATTCGATAATCTGCCTTTAGATTCATAATGAGTCACTACAAACCGGAACACACATGTTAAGTTACAAAAGCAAGCTTGGTCGATTTCACCTTGAAACTTATTGTAACGAGCTGAAAGTGTTAGAATTCACCATATCGGCTTTAAAACAAAATTGAAGAAGGGTGTGGATAAGTACAACTGGAACACATCAACGGATCACATTCGGTGAAACTTTTAAAATTTTATTTGACCTGCACAGATTCTTTGAAGCAGACTGTATGACTGTCACTCTATGAAAGTCATCTGTTATCCAAATGATTTTTGATCCAGCTGTTTCGTTTATTCTTCTTATCAAGTAAAAAAAAATGACGCATGCTTGAGTTTGATTAACGATCGTAAGTCGTGGGGTCGCGCCATCAATTAGGTGGTTTTGAAAGGTTGCAGGTTTCTTAAAAAAACAAGAAGGATTGATACCTTTTACTACAACGTTCTGGGAACATTTGAAAATGTTGTTCTAGCAGTTTATCACCGGTTAACGAACTTACTTATCTGAGGTATATGTCTGAAAACGAATCTATTCGTAACTGATAAGGATGATTGCCAGGATTTGAGGTAACAGTGGTTTGACAAACTCGG